AATAAAAAAAATTTACAATCGAGCTTGGACTGATTTTAATTGACAAAGGACCCTGAACAAAATGGGGTGTCTACAAAGACTTTTGTTGTAAGGGTTTTAGGCAATAAAAAAATCTATATATTGTATTTATTGGCTTGGAGAAAATATATGATTGAGTTCCCTAAGAGGTGCTTTCAGTGGGCCTTACTAAAGAAAGGAATCATTTTAAAATAAATTAACATAGTTAAAGATATATATGAAGGAGTTGTAATGAATGTGAGGGCATTTGGTGGCTACCTTAGGATTTCATCAAGGCTCAATACTAAGTTCATTTCTTTTGTATTAGTTATGGACAAGCTGACTAGATATTTCTAAGAAAAAATGCTATAGTGTATGTTATTTGCCAATGATTTAATCTTAGTTGTCAAAATTAGTGATGATCTTAATGTCAAATTAGAATTATGGAAGCATACAATTAGAGTCTTAAGGCCTTAAATTGTGTAGATCTAAAATTGAATATATGGAATGTAAGTTTAGTGGTCATAAGGAAATGAATGCTAGTGTGATTAAGTTGGATGATGAAGTAGTACCAAAGAGTAGTCATTTTTTATATTTGGATCAATTATTCAAAGTGAAGATGAAATAGAAAGGGATGTAAATCATAGGATTCAAGCAGTATGGATGAGATAACGAAGTGCATCGGATATGTTGTGTGATCACAACATGTTTTTAAAGTTAATGGCGAAGTTGTATAAAATAATTGTAAGATTTGCATTTTTCTATGGGATTAAGTGTTGGGCCAATAAGAAACAATATCAGAAATTGAGTGTAGCCAGATGTATGATAAGACTAAAAAATAAAAAATAAAAAATAAAGGGATTCGAAAAAAATGAGAGATGGTATGGACATGTGAAACGTAAGTCTATCTATGTACCAATTAGGATAAATGAGTTTGTGGATTTGGGAGAGACCAAAACTTTTAAAGGTAAACCACAAAATCATGGATGTAAATAATAAGAAATAATATAAGAGTTAAGGAAATAAATGGAAAGGTTGTTTTTTTTATAGAAATGAGAGGCATAAGAAGATTTACAATCTAACATAATCCCTTTTTTTGACCTTTCATACAACCAATCTTAAAATTATAGGATATAAAGCTTAGTTTGTTATTGTTATTGTATATACACGGTTAATTCCAATCTTCGCTCTAATTTGCTGCCACTTCGTCTGAAATTCATGCCCTCATTTGCAGATGCAGTTATTCCAATCACTTGCTTCATTTTGGCGTGTCTTTTTGCACTTCAACACTAGGGTACTCATCGGTCTTAATTTTCTTTGCTCCAATTGTGTTAACATGGCTACTATGCACCAATGCCCTTGGCTTATATAATATAATCCACTGGAACCCGCTTGTCTATAAAGCTCTTCCTCCATATCACATGTTCAAGTTCTTGAAAAAGATAAGGAAAGGTGGATGGATGTCTTTGGGAGGCATACTGCTCTGCGTAACAGGTGAGTTTGGAACATACATACATATGGTAAATGTTCATGTTGCATTGTGTCTTTGTCCACTTTGCCGTCGGTAGGTTCAATGTAATCTCTTTAGCTCAAAGTAATCTGTGCCTGGGACATACATAAGTTGATTTTTACCCAGTTTAAGGTTGGTTCATAGTCATGATAAGATCATTATCTGAGATGATTAGATCAAGTATTTTGGCAAAGTAGAGCAACCATTTCACAATTATCATAGAGTTAACCTGCTAGTGAAAATCCATATCCTTCGTAATATAATCTGGCTAGGTTGTAAAATTCAAAAGTTTTACTCACATAATACTCAAGGAAACCTTTCCTATCATATGAGCTGAACATTTTGCGTGATCTAATATGTAAGGGACATTATACCAGCCAAAGTTACCGAGTCATCAGTAGACCATCTGAAAGTCTTCTGTTGAAACTAGATATATATGGATAACTAATACCGTAATCTTAAGTTTGGCTCATTGTGACAACTGACAAACAACAAATGCCAATATTATGCTTGATTGTCCGTGCAGGCTAGGAGGCAATGTTTTCTGATCTTGGTCACTTCTCTTATGCTGCAATTCAGATAACTCAACACTAATCCTGTAAAAGGTTTCATTTGATACTAACGTCTTACCTATTCATGTGACTTCAAAGCTGGCTACTAAAATGAAAGTTAACCTTTGTCTCACCACCGACTGCTTTTACCTTTCTGTTTTATCCAGCCCTTATATTGGCATATATAGGCCAAGCTGCTTACTTGTCTCAACATCACCACAAGAGTTACCACATCAGTTTCTACATCTCAGTTCCAGGTATGTGCCCCATCATCTGTTTTCAAAACCAAGAATAAATGGTACGAAGCTGACTGATGTAATAGGGACATGTATCTCAACATCACCACGAGTTACCACATCAGTTTCTACATCTCAGTTCCAGGTATGTGCCCCATCATCTGTTTTCAAAACCAAGAATAAAATGGTACGAAGCTGACTGATGTAATAGGGACATGTAAATTTCTAGTCTGAGTATCTAAACCCCCTACCTATCCCTTTTTCTCCAAGAGCTAGAGAAAGTGCCAAAGATAGAAAGGTGGTTCAATAGTATAACACCATCTTAATGTGTCATGTCTACCCAGCTTAAAAGGGATTGCAGTATATCTCTGTAGGTACGAACCTGAATTCATGGTTTTACACAAATAAACTTGATTGCTTAACGTTTTTGTGTACAGAAAGTGTGAGATGGCCCGTTCTAGTAGTAGCAATTCACGCTTCTGTTGTGGGAAGCCTAGCTATCATTAGTGGAACATTCTCAATCATCAATCATAGCCAATCACTTGGTTGTTTTCCTAGAGTTAAGGTTATTCACACCTCTGATAAGATACATATACATGGCCAAATATATCCCTGAAATCAATTGGGTGCTTACTATCCCTGCGTTGTTTTTACTATTGGTTTAGAGACACAAAACGCATGAGGAATGCATCAGGTAAGGTTAAACTTCCTGCATCGCAGATAATAATATTCTAACATACAATTAAAATAATTTCCTCCTTAACATGAGATCCATTTTTCCTATTCTTTTGGAAGATTATTCAATTGGCCTCTCTCTTAATTAAACTTCTTACGAAAATGGTTTAAGGAGATCTTTCTATATTAGATGAAACAGAGAAGTTTGATGCATTACAATTTTGTTGTTATTCGTTTCAGGATTGGCAATGATGACTGTGATGTTGGTGACGACGTGCCTCACTTCCCTGCTTATTATCCTCTGTTGGCACAAACCCCCTATTGTAGCTCTTTCCTTTCTTCTTTTCTTTCGTTCTATTGAGTTGCTTTACTTGTCAGCTTCACTCGCCAAGTCCACGGAAGGTGCCTGGCTCCCCATTCTCTTGGCTCTATTCCTCATGACAATCGTGTTTGTATGGCATTATGCCACCATCAAGAAATATGAACTTCATCTCCACGATAAGGTATCACTAGAATGGCTATTAGCATTGGGTCTGACCCTAGAAATTGCTCCAGTACAGGTATCGGCTTAGTTATTCCTGATCTTACCTCACGAATCCCCTGTTAACTTTTCTCGTTTTATCACTAACCTTCCTCCCTTCCACCGTGTCATCATATTTGTGTGTAAAATCAGTACTGTCCCTTTTGTGTCCCCGGCTGAGCGTTATCTTGTGGTCCGTGTGGGTCTTGCCACTCATCGGTCCTATAGGTGCATTGTTCTTTATGGATATCAAGATGTACACCAGGATGTTGCTTTTTTTGAATCGGAACTAGTTGCCTGACTGGCTGATTTCATCCGCGATGGTTGGCATCGAAGCCAGTACACTAATCCCTATACTGAGGATGATGCTTCCCACTAATGAATCATCCAGTGAATGTAGATTAGCTATGATTGGGACAGTGGCATTTTCGGGCACACCAGCGTATGAGATTGAGGCAAGTGTGCAACCAGCAAGTTTATCAGTTGGATTCTCAACAGTAGAGAGTGTAATAGATGTCATCGAGATGGAGCATGTGGGTGCTGTTGAAAGAAGAGTTAGATTTGCCATTGATGATGACTCCGAATCTGATATGCCGACTGATAGGGAGGTGCAGTTGCGAGGGGAGCCAGAAGATCTGTTGGCAGCCCAAGAAGCTGGGAGTGCATTCATACCAGGGCGCTTACATGTTCGAGCAAAGCAAGGATCTTCTGTTTTAAAGAGATTGGCCACAAATTTTAGGTACAATTTCTTGAGAAGGAATTACCGGGGACCAGAAGTGGCACTTAAGCTGCTACCAGTATTTTGCTAGAGGTTGGCATGGTTTATGTGGTGTAAGCTTCTCATCTCATTGAAGTAGTTTTTGTAGCTTTATGTCATATCAAGATAAAGTAGAAGAGGCGCACCTGTAGATTGACCAAGCCTGTCGAGAAAGTTATAACTCGTTTAAGGGAGATTCACCTCGTTCTTTTGTTTGATGCAATAGAGAAATTAAATTGCTCTTATGAAAATTTAGTAAGTCGTGCATCAATCTCAATTGCATGTCAGCTACTACCGTGTAAATTTCGAGAAAATCTTGCTTATATGAATGCACATTTACCAGGTGAAACTCGTTTGAAATCTTTACATTGATGGATATTAGCACAATCCTTCAGAAAATTTTGTTCATCGCATTCATGGAAAGGGGTGAGCAGGATTATCCTAAGTTTCCAAATCATCCAGGGGGGGATATTTGCTTAATTATATAACTTGTCAAGAGACGTAAATCTTTCCTTGTTTTCCTTTAAATGATAATCAAAAGAAGATAAAGTGTATATTATTTACTACCATCGTATTATAATTAATAAATTATAATTTAAAATTTTGTCTGAAATTTATATTTATAAGTAATAAATCTTTACATAATTATTTATTTTAATTAAATAATTGTTAAATTATAATAAAAATTTATAAGTTGCGAAGAAGAGATATGGAGTACTAATTTAACAATTGCAAACCAAGCAAAGAAGGCAGGCTGTAGGCCCGATTAGTAGGGTATTAGACCAACTTGAATCTCCCACTGATCAGACCTCTAGGCCATATTCCTTCTTCATTTGGTCAAAGTACTGGGCCAGAGTCAAATATTTGGGCCGTAAACCATGTTCTTTGGGGCTACGACGTTATTCTCAGTCATACGCAGCCGAAATGGCGGGAAGAACTGGCGGGAAATGCTACCTACCTCTCACTTATAGCGCGGGAAGTGAGGAAGTGTCAAACGAATCGATCAATCAGAGAGAGAAAGATGGGAGGTCCACCGTACGATTGCATGGCGAACCCACTGGGAGCCGTCCGGTTGACATTTGAGAAGGCGATAGGGTCTGGATCTCTGACCCAGACCCATCCCTTAGCCTTTGACGGCAAGGACTGGGGTGCCCTAGACCTCTTCCGCCACTTCCTCTTCCAGGAATCGGGACTCTCCCAGGTGCCCATCCTTAATTCTAAGACTATGAGATGGGTTCAGCCCAACAGTCTTGTACGTTACCGGGGCATGATTCAGGACATGTTGGGAAATGAATTCTATGTTGGTGCTTACAAGGTAGTAAGTTTCCATTTCTTTTTTCATATTTTTAGCTCTAAAGTTTTGTCTTTTCTTTTTCTTTTTCTTTTTTTGTTGTACTCTTTTTTAAGAATGTGAAATTAATTGTTTTTCTTTTGTTTCTCTTTTCTGTTGCTAAATAAAGGATGGGAATTTATGGAGGACCAACAAGTTCATGGATGTTTCTCAATATCCAATGGGAACCCCTCCTGATATGTGTGTTTGGGAACGCCGTTTGCTCTACTGTGTTCCTGTCAGTTCTATTCTTCTACTGTTTTTTTTTTAAGGTTTTGGTAGTTAATGATAGTGTTTTATTTGTTAACCGGTTGATAGGACATTCATGGTTTTAAGTTCTTATTTTTTTCTATTAAATGGGTACATACTGTGCAATTGGAACATGGTTTTACTCCATTGTCTTATTGTTCATTGGTTGCGATCATATTCTTTTATTTAGGTTCCAGGACAGAGTTCATGGACTGAACCTTCTTGTGAAATGGAACCTAATCGAGGCATGGATTGGTCATCCCAAAACAGGGAGAAGCGGCGTAGGATGGATGATGAAGATGCCGACCCCTTGGATTTGGTTGGTCCTGCTCCCCTTACTATTTATCTATTCATTTCCTTGTTCATCATTTACTATTTATCTATTCATTTCATTGTTCATCATTCTCCCAACTGCATGGCCTAACCATGTCACACAATCATAAAAATAGGATAGTCTTCATGCTTTGTGTTCTATGAAAATGAGGTGATGGTCTTGCCTTCAGTTTGTGTTTGATTTTGCCATAAAGTAGTTAGGATTTAGATTATAAATTTGTTTAGGTGGGCTGTTCTATACTAAAGGTATGGTACGTTAAAAGTAGTTATTTGGTTAGAACATGCTTATAAATTTTTTGGGCCTTCTTAATGTGCTTAGAACTCCTCAAGAACAATGCCTAGTTCTTTGGTTCCTGTAGTATTGTGTTTTAATGCATTTGCAGTTTACCGAACTTAACCTAGATGCTATATCTAATTACAGGTTCCTGATGATGAGATTAAAAGCTCTCCAATTACCAAGAAGATGGTAAGAAGAGCTACGTGAAATTTTAAGTTTCATTGTTGTTGAGAACCAAGAAATATCTTAGCTTCTGAGATTAAACACTGTAGAGATGTTATTTGGTTTTGCTTGATCCTTGGAGCTCTTAAAGATTGCCGCATTCAACTGTATACTGTGTTGTCATTATTGCTGTTGTGGGAGCAGTATGCCTTGATACCATATTCTCTGTACATTATTAGTTGCCATGAATGACCCCATGAAATTGGCATGCTATTTTTCTTGAAGCCAAATTCTTAAGAGATTCAGGACCATCCGAAAACCTTCCGAAACCTGTAGAAATATTTCTATAACTTCACATATTTTTCACATAGCTTCACTTTTTGCATTTTACTGTCTTATCAAATTAATTGTCAGGGATTTCCTAAAATATTCAAACATGCAAATTTCTTTGATCTGAATTTAGTTATGGAAAGAATAAAAAAATATTGGGTTTTTGGTATATTTGTGCTTGAAATTGGTTTGTTTGACAATATTTTGCCACATCAGCTTATTAAGTGAATTTCATTTAAGCCAAATCTGAGTTCAATTGCCACATCAAGCAAAACTACAATTGGAGGCTAAAATAAACATTGTTTGAACGTATGAGGGGTATTTTGGAGTTGTTCGTTGAATATCGGCTTCCTTTTTTCTTTTTTTTCTTAATGTTATCTTTACATCCTTCTTCATAAGGAAGATTTTCCTAATAAGATTTTTTTTTTTTTTGCTTTTTGCTAGAGAGAAGATGGATTTCCTTCCCCTTCACCAGAGTCTAGGGATTCTAAAACTGCAAGCTCTTCTTCCAGCATGAGTACATTTCAATACGTCGACAAAGATAACCTTCCTTGCCTTGTAAAGGTAAATGATTTCATGTCATTTTTCCAATATACATCCAGATATACTGAAATAATCTATAGATGACTGAGTTTATTCTTCCTGTTTTAACCAAGGTTGATTATTTTCTATATTGATAATGCAGATATATGATTCTCCAGAGTCAGAGTTGAAGCTAAATGATGTTTTTGAGTTTATTGGGGTCCTTACTGTTGATTCAGAGCTTGCAGTTGAGAAGGATGATAATGATGAGTTATCCAATAGTTTCTATGATGATGCACTGGTCCATTTGCCCCCTAATAAGGTATTATCTGTTTCCAGCTGCGAAACATTTGTGGCTTCATTACCAGTACAGATTGTTTTAGGTCAACTAATTCTTTAATGACAGATCAGTTCAAAATTTTGTTAATATTATTAATGAAAATGTAGTTTTTTAGACTAAATTATTGAATAAATGACCACTCTGAAAATACTCCACACTCTCAAACTACCTGTATGTGTTTTATCACAATTATTTTATGGTCAAGTTTTTTGTAGCTTAACTGCTCTCTGAATGGCTTGCAGTAATGAAATGGTTTGATTTCTTTTTGTGTTGTCTGATTCAAGATATGTTTTAAGTAATTTTTTTCCAACTCTTTCCTGTTGTAGGTCCCACGCTTGCACTGTCTTGTACATAGGAAGCTTGCAGTCCATGACTTTCTGCAGAGCTCCCCAATAATGGAGGTAAATTGCTGGAGAAGTTTATGGATTTCTGCATTTTTCTACCTCATGCTGACAAGTTTGCAGTTCAATTCTCTATTGGCTTCTCTTATGCTTCCTCATCTTTCATTTCTCACTTTTAATCTTTCATTCTTCGTTCCAAAGCCACATTTGGTGAAAGGGATAAGGGAAGCTCTGTTCAGGCATCTTACAACTGTTCTTGGAAATGACGAGGTAGCTGCTCATTTCATGTTGTTGCATCTTCTGTCCAAGGTAATGGTTTCCTCCATAATTATCATTTTATTTTCTTGTATATGATGCTGGGTGGAAGCCACTTGTATTCACGCATTCCCTCCTAAATTCTTTCTATTAACTCTTCCCTACAATAAACAACTAACTAAGCCTTATATCCCATAACTCTTAACCTAAAAAAGTAATATTCTTCTACTTGTGTTTCCTTGAGAATTCTTCCTTTTGATTCCCATCTTAGCATGTGAGAAAATAATAAGACTGATTGGACAGGTTCATGCTCGAGTAGATGATGTTGCTGTGGGGAAGCTGTCACTAAATCTAATGGGTTTAAGCAAAGAAAGTGCGACTGTGTTTGGCACTCGACTTAGCCAAGCTTTCAAAAGCCTCTTACCATTCACACATTTCATACCTCTCACACTGGAATATCTGAACACTGCCTCTCTTGCCCCGAAAAAGGATTATCAAGAAAACAGGTATCCTTATTCATATTCCTGTAACTAGGGAAAGTTACTGCCAGCAATCACTGTGAAAGCAACTAGCAACGATCAATTTCTCATTAATTATTCATAGCTTCACAATGTTAATGTTGCAGATTGATTCCCGGAGTTCTGCAGCTGCCTGAGGGCTCACACATAATGGTTGATGAAACCCAACTAGAATCAGGAAGCCTCAGCTCTATTGGAATTGAGAATACAAAGTCGCTGAAAAATCTAATGGAGTTTCAGAAAGTAAGCTGCCACTGGGTTTGTTGAACCCTGTTTGCATGTTTGTGCATAGATCTACAAGATCAAGGAAGATTTCAGAAATTTAATGAGCATATTGGAAAATTGTGCTTGGTTTATTTATTCAAGCAGTTGAAATATTGCAACTCTTTTCCCCTAAAGCTACAATTATACTAGGGAAATTCTGCTTTGACCTCAGTTGAAGTTGACTCACTCGAAATGTACCTTGTTTTCAGGTGGAGTATGACTTTCAGTACTATAAAATGGAAATGGCAGCAGATGTCCAGTTACTTATTTTCTCTGAGGGGAAATCTAACATTGTTCCTGCTGATGTCGTTGTACCTTTTCAGCCATCTTCTCTCGAATCCTTTGAGATACCAGTTGCAGAAGCACTGGAAGCTTGGAGATGGTACTTGGCAACTGTTAGATTATTACCGCATTCCATTGGGTCAGAAATGCAGAAGGTATGAATTAGATTTGACTAGATTTCTTCTAGCATGCTATTCTGCCAATACAGTTTTACCATGTACAGTTGTTGGCTGAACACTTGCACCACTGTGACAGTTTTAGAAAGTTTGCCCTGATTTATGAAATTTTATCAAATTATAAATTCACACGTCACCCATAGTCAACCTCTCAATACCCACTTTTGTAGTGTCTTATACTAAGTTTTAAGAGTTTTTTTTTTTCTTTTAAGTTTCATGAATGGACTGATAGTATGTAATGAATCTTTCAAGTCATGTTAAAGTGATGTATTCATTTTGCTAGGTTATAAAAGGTGGATCGTTAGTATCATAACTTAATATCTTCATGTAATGATCTGTTTATGTTATTGAGCATTTGATCCTTGTTGATGGTTTTGATCAATTAAATTCAGTTTTGTGACAAGGGATCTTTCTGGCATTGCTTATATTCTTGCATAAGAATTTTTTTTGCATTTGGTTTTATATTTTGAAGGGACGTCTCAGCCTCTCAGGGTATTTTATGATTCCTTTTTTCATGGATGTTTACTCACAGGTGGTAGAAGATGACTTGGTTGCAGCAAGACAAGCAGATCGGAGCTTGGGCAGTCGAGATTTCAGCCGGTTAGTAACAGGTTTTGATTATATAATATTCAATCCTCGCAGTTGCAATGAGCTTAGATAATTTTTTTATTATTTGTAGGTGGCTGACAATGGCCCGCTTGGTATCCTCAAGTTTTGGAGAAACCTGTCTGTCATTGGAACACTGGCAAATGGTCAAGGAATTGGAGAGGCTGAGGAGGGAGAGGCTCAAGTAGAATCCAAGTCACCAGGTCGGAAATAAGGGTTTTAGCTTGATGCTTGTTATTTTTCTTAATCATGAGCAATTTTTGTTCTTTTCTTGCCCCAAAGGTCATGAAAAAGCGGTTTGTTGAAAGGACTGAGCAGAATCGTTAATTTTATAAAAATGTTGACGCATTGCAAAAACCAGAATAGCAACCATTGAGTTTCTGATGCATCATTTGTGGTCTACCACCTTTTTGAAGTATGTTAATCCATCAAACTGATCACCGGATCTTTAGCATGAATTGTAACTGCTGGTCTTTCTAGGTTCTTAGAACTGAATGTGACGAATCTTCTCAAGCCCACTTATGGTGAACTGCGAAAAGAGGCTCAGGTTGGCATAAACTAAAATATGCAGCTTCCAATCCCACCTCACTGCGTGGGCATCTGCAATATCAAGTCCAATTTCTAATTTTGGCCCTGTAATTGTAAGCTTTTGATTACACCCACTTTCAGCTGAGAACCGGTTCAGAATCCAACAATGGACTCCTTTGATCTTAAGCAAAGCAATAAATTAGAAAAACTTTTAAATTAAAACATAACTATAGCTATCTTTTTTCGTAAGTCTTTATTAATTCAAATAACTTCTTAATACATATTTCATGAATCATGATCTACTTTTATTTTCTAATATAAATTGAAGCACTATTATTTAAGAGTATCCCAGAAGTCCAGAATAACAATGTCAATAACCAATAAACATCATTAAGCATTTAATGAATGTACAGGAAATATTCAATACCCTTCCATTCTTCTCTCTTCAATACAATAATAGCAACAAATTCTAAAAAACAAAATAACAATATTGGTATGTATCCATTAAACTATATATGGACATTTCATACAATATTTTTAATTCCTTTTTTAAAAGAGAGACTTAAAAATAGACTTAATACTTTCTATAAATTACATTGTCTAAAACATCATTTTTACCAATCTCTTCTCAAATTCATAACCAAATTTTCCTACATCAAGCACTACATTAAGTATCAAACGTGCCCCAGAGTAACAACTCCAATGTCCCCATCTCTCTCTTCCTTTTAGCTAAGACATCCAAAAACACCATTAACAATTGGTGTTTTCTGTTGGAAACGATAAGCATGTCTTACTAGGCATATCCCTTTGAGACTCTTAACTCTTACCATTAAATGTTTACTCAACCTACAGCTGCTACTAAGGTAACATCATTTTTACCAATCCCTTCTCAAATTCATAACCAAATTTTCCTACTTGGAATTCCCTATTCCCCAACAATTGGCTTTCATTAAATGCTTGGGCAACACAACCTTTAAGCTTTTATCAGAAGTTAATGGGAGTTTTATCTTTGAATGTCACATTGACACCACAATTTACCCATACCATTGTGCCTAAACCTTTAAACCTTGTTCCTCAATTACCCACAACACATATCCTTTCATCACAGCCCATTTATGTTAGTTTGTGGCCAAACGTTCCCTCTGTAACTTCCATTATACATGTTTCACTCCCAATGCCACAAATCCCAAAATATCAAACTGGCATGCAACTTTCCCCAGACTTTAACTAAGCCTTTATGGCTTTAATACAATTATTAAATTCCCAAGTGGCCATTCAACAAAGGTTACTCCAACAATACCAATAGGCTACACAACAGCCTTTCCAAGAAAGAGCCCATCTTAGAGAAAGTTTAGCTTTTGTCTTTTAGGGAACACCACCACCACTACAAAACTTAACTCACCTTGAAGAAACCTACCCATAAACCATACATGATAGCACCCATTGTCATGATCATACTATATAAAACCCAACACTAAACCAAACACATGCAAACCTTAACCTAGAAAATGATCTAGTCATGCAAGTTACTACTTTGCGCAATAAGTTAGCCAACTTGATAAAAAAGAAAAATAAGGATTTCAAGTGGCTTAAGGATGATCGTAACCCTCTTACCCCTATTATCAGACAAGTTGACACACATCTTTCCTCAAACTACCAAAAGACACCCATAATGGGACCATTGACCTAGAGGATCACTTAGACTACTTTAGAACCTTTATAGACTTGCACAATGTTTTTTGATGTAATGAAATGCAAGGCTTTTCTCACCACCTTGGATGGAAGAGCCAGGATATAGTTCTATTCTATGGCCTCCGCCACTATATGTAGTTTTAATGCCCTTAAAAGAGAGTGTTTGACACATTTCTTAAGTAATATGGCTATTGTATGCTCCTTTTTAAGCTTGTTGGCCATAAAGCAAAAACCTGAAGAAATGTTATGGTAATACTTGAAAAGGTTTAACACCCTAATTTTGGAGATCAAAGATTTTAACATTTAATGGGCCATCCAGGCCTTTACCTCTTGGTAAGGCATGACTATTTAAGATATTCTTTGACGAAAAACAAATTAGAATAGTTGTACCAAGTATAGGAAATGACCTAGAAATTTGTCAAGTCTAAGAAGATTAGGGTTGTTGATATGTTGAGCAATATGAACAACATCAGGAACATCTATAGGGAAAGAACAAGTGGATTGATACACTGAGCCAGCAGTTTCATGATAATCATCAAACTCATAGCTAGCAGGGAAAAGAGACTGGGACAACAACAACAATAACAATAAAAACTCTCAAATACAGTCCAACCAATATTAAAACTAAAACAGAACCCTAAATGCCATCACACTACCTCCAATGCCCCACCCAAAGAAATAACCAAGTGAAACCCCCAACTAGGCACCTATATAACCAACCCTCATAAAATAGACATTACATTTACCATGAAACTAGGGGCACTTCATTGATAAGTGCATAGCTTTCCAAAATGAGATTGAAAGACTGGAGAGCATGATAAATGCCCAAACTAAACTCCAAACTAATAACCCCTTAACCTTTCAAAATTATGAAGCATCTAATTACCAACAAGGTGAGAGCTCATCCTACCACATTAAGGAGGTCCATTAAGAGAAAGCTGGGAGTAAATGCCCAATTCATGGTATTATTCATGTTATTGTGGGGGCCACTGAAGATTGGAAAAATAGTAAATCCAAGCGCAAGTAACATTTATGCAGTATAATGGCCATTAGTGTTGCAACTAAGAAATAGAGAATTGAGAACTAACAGGTGCAATTCTCAAAAGATAATACTAACATCCTGATTGACAATGGTAATGACCTTATAGTGGTCATAGCAACACTAGCCAACTACTCAGTGCAATGAATATTAGTTGACAGTGATAGCATAATGGATTTATTCAATATCAAGCCTTCAAGCAAATGGGATTTGCATATGGAGATTTAAAGGCCATTATGGCCTATATTTGGGTTTGTTAATAACCCATTACAGTGAAAGGGTCCATCACTTTATCAATTATAATGGGAGATGGTGAGCATACATTGACAGCACTAACGGACTTTTTAGTGGTTGATCAATCTTTTACTTATAATATTATTTTTGGCAAGCCATTGATGATGACGGCCAATATGGTGACTGTCATTTATTGTTTAAAGGTTAAATTTCTTATGTCTACTATAGTAGGATACATGAAAACAAATTAGGTGACAGCTTACCAATACCACATTTTAAGCCTTCAACTTACCTAAAAGCTAGAACAAGAATCAAACCACCAATCCATCCTCACCTTTGCCCACAAAAGACCCCAAAACATTCTACCCCATTAGTCTATGTCATAAACCCAGCCCTAGCCTAGACTTTAAGCATTGATAACTTGGATGCATGGAATGAAAGTAATGAATGCATGGCTTATCCTATCGAGCAAACTATACCTATCCAGCTTTACCTACCAAACCCATACCTTACCACTTAAACAGGTTCTTTGTTGGATGCTAAGGTAAAAAGTATGTTGTATAGATTGTTATAAAAGAATGCTAATGTCTTTGTGTGGTCTGCAATAGACATCACTAGCATTGATGAGCGTGTTATTGCTCTTCACTTAAACATAAACTCGACTACTAAACCGATTAAGTGAAAAAAATAAAAGTTCACTCCTAAGTGAATCCAAGTAGTGAAGAAAGAAGTGGATAAATTGCTGTCAGCTGAGTATATTAGGGAAGTCAAGTATCCTAATTAGCTTGCCAATGTGGTTATGGTGAAGAAGGCCAATAATAAGCAGAGAATGTATGTATACTTCAATGATTTGAATAAGGTGTGCCCAAAGAATAGTTTCTTTTTACCTTCAATGGACAGATTAGTGAACTCTTTTATGATCCACAAGTATTTGAGTTTTATAGATGCACTGTCAGGGTACAATCAGATTAAGTTAGCAAGGGTGGATTAGGAAAAAATATCTTTCATCACTATAGATGGTTTATTTTGCTACACAGTGATTCATTTTGAGTTGAAAAATATAGAAGGCATATACCATAAACTAGTGTATAAGATTTTAAAAAGTAGATTGGTCAATCTTTATAGGTTTATATAGATGATACATTGTTTAAGAGTTTCTCATTGGAATAACATATTTGAGATTGAACAAAAGCATTTACCATTTTTAGAAAGTACAATATGAAGTTAAATAATACCAAGTATACATTTGGTGTGAAGGAAAGTTTTTAGGTTTTATGGTTTCCAACAAAGGTATAGAGGCAAACCTCAAGAAGGTGACAACTATTTTGGACATGAATTCCCTAAGAACTACTAAAAAAATGCAGAGATTGACATGGTGAGTATAGCCTTTAATAGATTTGTGTCTAAGCTGGTAGATAAATGTTTACCATTTTTTAAGGTTCTTCAAAGTGTAACAAGATTTAAGTAGGATGAGCAATGTCAAAAAGCCTTTGAAGAACTTAAGTAGTATTTCCACTTGCCAACTTTACTCAGTAACCCTAATCTTGGTGAGCCTTTGTATGTATACTTGGTAGCTTCTGATGAAACAATGGCAATAGTGTTGGTAAAAGAAGGCAATTAAAACCAAGTAACAGTGTATTATGTTAATAGGGCCTTTAGAATGTAGAGGTTAATTATACAAGGTTGGAAAAGATAGCCTTCGTGCTAGTCACGATAGCTCACTAATTGAGACAATATTTCTAAGCACACACCATAATTGTTTTAATAGACTAGCTACTCAAAGAAGTCCTACACAAAATAGACACTTTAGGAAGAATGACAAAGTAGAGTGTCAAACTTAGCAAATTCCATATTGAGTACAAGCCAAAGAAAACCATTAAGGCTCAAGCTTTACCAAACTTCCTTGTCGAGTGTTCTTTCACACCCGAGGTAAAATCCCAATGGTAAAGCACTATAAAACCTCTCTAGTCTCAACTTGACCTTTGCCTACAAATCCAAAACCTTAAACCGAACAAACCCAAATAAAACTACAAAAAAAAAAGATAAATCAACCAACGGAACCCTTACACCAACCTCTAGATTATTCAACATCTTTCAGTGGTGAGCCCCTTGCCAGAGCTCACATGATTGTT